CTCAAATGGTAGACTTTGACTAAAATTGGAATCAAGTCATAGTCAACAGGAATAACACTTGGTCTTCATAGAGTGGACGAGAAATGGACCATTGTGATGCCACTGTGATGTCATCTGAAGTACAATTAACTGGAAGTCATATCATCAGAACTGGCTATGCCATCATCTGAGAAGTCATTAACCAAGAACTGCATCTGGATAGACCTACCGCCAAACTGTTGATGCAGTGTCTTGTGCCTTCCAAGATTGATTACTGTAATGCCCTGTATGCAAATCTTCCAAACACAAGCTACAGAGGATTCAGAACTCGTCAGTTTGGTGTATCTCTAGGAACCCTAAATCAGAGCATCTAACACCAGTTCTCAAAGCCTTGTATTGGCTCCCTGTCTCCTCTCGGATTGTCTACCAGATTTTTGCATGACTCATGACTGTCTCTTCAACGACTCACTCACATTATCCAGTAATCACCAACTCTGTGATGTCTGATCACACCTTTTCAGTTTGCAGTCCCATGTTCCGGAACTCTCTACCTTCAGAATTAAGGACCACTATATCCAAGGAGCATTTCAAGTGTCTCCTCAAAACCCACCTCTTTCACACTGCCTTTCACTAGACTCTATGGATTTTGTCTGTACATTTGTTCCTTGACTTTTTCTCTGGGCCCATCAAGCCTATGAGGTACTCAGCAAATCAAATGTTGTGTTTTCGAGACATATTCACAAGAATGACTTAATCCTGGTATTCTACCAACACAGGTCCATCCTAGGGCAGCCATCCAGCTGTTGGGTCACCTCCTTGACCAGGGATATCCTGATATGACCTATGTAGTTCAAGACAGGCCATGCCAATAAGGAGATCTGATATGAGGCCTGTATGAGGAGATCTAATATTAGAAAACTCAATGTTTTCAAGGTGTTTCCACCTCCTGCAAAGTTCTGCCAATCAACAACTTGCATCTGTCCAGTAATCCTAGTAGTTGTTAAGGCAGATAGTGTAGTATTGACCGATACCCATCCAAGCTCTCTAACCCAACCTGAACTGTCATGGTGTCGAGCATTTCATGTTGCCTATTGGGGACATTAACAGTAACCTTCTGTGCTGGACCGGATAAGCCTAATTCTGAGGCACCAGCTCTGCTGATATAAGTCTGTGTACTGGCATCACCCAATAGTGCATTAACAATAATTCATTTGCTTCCATTCTGTAGAACTGCTGGCAATGTCTGTTCTCAGTGATACCATCGTTGACCTCCTGGATATCAGATGAGAACATTGGAACTACAGAGGGACTCTGACAGCCATGTTGCTTTTCAGTTTCAGCTGCAGTAACATCACTGCCACAACTTGTCTTTGTTGAGTGAAGATGTACATTGAAGTGATGCAGTACATTTATCTATTCCACAGCTGATTTGATGATTCAAATTTTTACCACTGTGGTTAGACATCTGAAACAATGGTTCAATTGTTTGGCAGTTTCTCATCTTTTGAGAACACTCACAGATTTCAACTGTTTACAATGCCAAATGTGGTGACAGAGCGCTCATGTTAGTCTGTCGATCACCAAAGAACAAACCTGATTTGGTTTGACCTCTAACTGTAGTCTCTCCCTTGTGGGATAGACCATACAATGTTTCTGATGCCATAACACTAAAGTCAGCCTCTTGCAACACCCACTCATGCAATGTTTCAACTGATTCGTTGATGATATTCAGTTAACATGGATTCTGTCATTTTCTTCAGTAGCTGATTGTAATAATAATGCTCCACTGTCTAACTCTTCTAGTCTGTCAGTATCTCCAAGATTGATCACAACTATGTCTAGCATGTCTGCATACCTCTCAATATCCTTAAAGGTCACATGCAACCAAAAAATCAAACATAATTAAAACACAATCATCACTTATCATGACATATAATATACATGGCTGATTATGAAAAAACATATAAACAAAATTATAAGCGTGCAATCGCAAATCAAAAGTGCAATATTTTGTACTAGGGTTTACTTCCCTAGAACTGAAGCACCAGGGATACCAAACCCAGTCAGAGCGGGTGGGTGTGCACTCAAGTGTAATGAACACTTTCACTGGCTGGTTCATTTGCCGATGCCATCACGGCTCATTGTGTGTGTGTGTATAATGTCATTTTTTGTGTATAACATTTTGCAATCAACATACATCATAACATGTCCTATGGCCATGGCCACACATACATTATGGAAATAAACAAACATCATGTGTACAAGTATCACACCTGCCTGTCTGTGTAATTACATAATATGACAGAGACCTAACTCGGGCCATAAATCAATGCGTTTTGTTTATGGTGTATAGCCTGATAGGTGTTAAGTTTAAAATGCATGTGGTCAGTGATCGAAGTTGTGTATTGCATATTGTCATTAGCAGACAGGCAGGCAGACACATAGGTGTCAATAAAACAGACACTGAGTTTTGTCTGTGACAATGACGTCTGCATGTGACCTTTAACATTGCCAGTATTGGAGTATAGGTAGACACATATATAGCACTCAGTGACTGGGTGCTGTGTTTCAGGAACACTTATGTGGAGGTGTGTTATTGCCTATACAGACAGACAGACAGATTTATTTCAGTATGAGGCCATTGGCCAAAAATATATTTATACACATGAAATAGATATACAGCATGCTTTAACTCTGATTTTTTGGCAATAAGGTGTGTAACTTTAGAAGAAAATAACACAAATTCTGCAAAGTAGTTTTTCCAGTTGATTGTAGCAGAGTTTTGAGTATGTTCATAGAACTTTGGATTTTGTAAATAGAATGGTTTTAGATGTGTTTTAGTTCACAATATGATGGGCACTTAAATAGCACATGGAGCTTATCTTCGATGACATGAATGTTATTTTCTTGCATCTGTTGCATAGTCTTACTTCCTTCAAATATTGTTATGGCAACCTAGTTCGATTTCTATTTTAAAGTTGGAACACCGGAATTTAGATAATATTCTGCATAGTTGAAGGGGAAGGTCAAGTGTCAGATATGCTTCAACATTTAGAATGGGTTTGAAATGTCTGAAGATTGAAAACTTAGTACTTGAGTATAAGGAGGAGTGCCAGTCTTGTGTTAAAGTACCATTTAATTGTTGTTTATAAAATGATATGAAGATGTCAGTATTTCCTATTTCCTGCTGAATCCAGACTATTCCGAAGCCAAGTTTGTATAGATTTTATGTCTGCAGCCCAAGTTTGGTGCTGTGTTTCAGTAACACATATGTGGAGGAGTGGTATTACATATATACTAGCCCAAATAAAGAAACTGTGCATTGTCAAAATATTATCCCAGTTGATAAGTACGATAACAATGTCAAAGGTACATATAAACTTTAATGGAGGGATCATGAGACCATAACAAGTAGGGAGAATTTCAATTGAAAAGTCAGTCACAATGATGTCACGAGTCCACAAGTGGGACAGGGGTCAAACGACCATGTCACAAGCTCAATAACGGGTATGTCCACCATCGGCATTGAGAACAGCAGTGCATCGACGACGCATAGAGCCTATCAAACGTGCAAGGAAGGCTTGTGGGATGTCACGCTAGATTCTCTCAAGTTTTGTTGCAAGGTCAAGGACGTTATCTGGCGGATGAGGAAGACGGCATAGACGTCGATCCATCTCGTCCGAAACATGCTCTATCGGGGAGAGATCCGGTGAATTAGCAGGCCAAGGCAGTAAGTCAACGTTGTGGTGTTGCAAGAAATCCATAGCAACTCTTGCCGTATGAGGGCGGGCATTGTCCTGTTGGAATGTTAACCCAGGGCCATGACGTTGAAGAAAAGGAATTGCCACAGGTCGAAGAATCTGATCCCAGTAGCCCACACCAGTTAAGTTGCCCTGAACAATCACCAAAGGAGTTCTTTGGCAGTGGAAATGTGCAGCCACTTGTCGTTGAGACATTCCCCGACGGACCATCCCAATGGCCTCATGACGTTGTGCAGACGTGAGCCTTGGCATGCTATGCGTTTCAATAGCCGTTTAATGTTTTGAACGATCGCAAGGGCAGGGGTTGAGCTTTCCAAAGTGACAGTATTGTGTGGCATTCATTCGCTCTGTTTCCCTTTCCCGGAATGCACGTGCAACAACGTATTGCACGTCTCAAGGACGAACCAACGTCATGGATTCAAACGACCATGTCACAAAAAGGAACACATATGTAGAGGTGTGTTATAGCATATGTAACACACAGTGACTCTGTGCTGTGTTTCAGGAACACATATGTAGAGGTGTGTTATAGCATATGTAACACACGGTGACTCTTTGCTGTGTTTCAGGAACACATATGTAGAAGTGTGTTATAGCATAGATAACACAGTGACTGCTGTGTTTCAGGAACACATATGTAGAGGTGTGTTATAGCATATATAACACACGGTGACTCTGTGCTGTGTTTCAGGAACACATGTATAGATATGTTATAGCATATATAACACACAGTGACTGTGCTGTGTTTCAGGAACACATATGTGGAGGTGTGTTATAGCATATATAACAGTGACTCTGTGCTGTGTTTCAGGAACACATGTGTAGAGGTGTGTTATAGCATATATACAGTGTATGAAATAAGCCAAGAATCCAGCCAGACATCATAACTTCAAAATGTTACCAACCCAAAATATATTTAACCAGACCAAATATTTTGAATTTACTCAGATGTATGGAACATCTAAAACATTTACCAGACCATCAGGCTTGCTAGCTGTAAATTCGGACCGTTCAACGGAAATCTTGCCCGTCATGGGCGGTCAGACAGGCCTTATGTCATACACCGATATATAACTCACAGTGACTCGGTGCTGTGTTTCAGAAACTGAATGTCATATGTAGAGTGTGTTATTGTTGATGTCTAACAAAATGACTTGGTGCCATGTTTTGGGAAAAAGTCTAATGAGTGTGTTATTGCCAATTTAACATTTCATGTCGCTGTGTGTGTAAGTAATACAATGGCACTGTGCTGTGTTTCAGGAACACATATGCGGAGTGTGTTATTGCTGATGTGACACATGATGGGCTTGGCCTGACCCTGGAGTTCTCCCCCAAAGACCAAGATGAGAACACACTGCTGTGTGTGGAAGCAGACTCGCCAGCCATCCAGCTGGAAGAACTCCCTCTGGAGGTCATCGAGGAAATGTCCACTGTCATCAAGGGGAGAAGGAGGGCAAGAAGGGAGATAAACCTGATGGGACCAAGACAGAGCAAAAGAAACCTGATGACGGAACCAAGACAGAGCAAAAGAAACCTGATGACGGAACCAAGACAGAGCAAAAGAAACCTGATGACGGAACCAAGACAGAACAAAAGAAACCTGATGACGGAACCAAGACAGAACAAAAGAAACCTGATGACGGAACCAAGACAGAACAAAAGAAACCTGATGACGTTCCAGCACCAAAACTTCTTCCTACTGATGAGGCATCCACCACAGAAGGGTTCTCACTCCTGAAGAGGTCAAAGAATATTTACACAGCCATTGAGGATGACAAGGAAACCATTATTGTTGACACTGAGTATGTCTTTCAATATCTAGCTTCTGTATATCACAGTATCTGTATACCCTTGGACTAAAAGTATAAACACAACACTATTTTAAGCAAATGAGTTGACAGTACAGTGTAATATTCTCTGTGGATTTGACACTGTAGAGCAGTATACACTCAGAACTTGACACTACAGTCTGGTATACTTACAGGACTTGACACTACAATATGGTATACTTACAGGACTTGACACTACAGAATGGTATACTTACAGAACTTGACACTACAGAGTGGTATGCTTACAGAACTTGACACTACAGTCTGGTATACTTGCAGGACTTGCAGGACTTGACACTACAGAGTGGTATACTTACAGGACTTGACACTACAGTGTGGTATACTTACAGGACTTGATACTCCAGAGTGGTATACTTACAGGACTTGACAATACAGAGTGGTATACTTACAGGACTTGACACTACAGAGTGGTATACTTACAGGACTTGACACTACAGAGTGGTATACTTACAGGACCTGACACTACAGAGTGGTATACTTACAGGACTTGACACTACAGAGTGGTATACTTACAGGACTTGACACTACAGAGTGGTATACTTACAGGACTTGACACTACAGAGTGGTATGCTTACAGGACTTGACACTACAGTCTGGTATACTTACAGGACCTGACACTGCAGAGTGGTATACTTACAGGACTTGACACTACAGAGTGGTATACTTACAGGACTTGACACTACAGAGTGGTATGCTTACAGGACTTGACACTTATCTACTTGGAGTATACTGTGTGGCTCTACTGCCCTTATTAAGGCATTGCAACTCCATTGTCAAGTCCATGGGGAGGTGTTTTGTTGGACAGAATTTCTTGTTATGAGTCCTACCAATCACTTGCATATATGTTTGTGTTAGTTTGTAACCATCACCCAGTCAATTTTTATTTCAGGAAAACAGAAAAAAAAGAGATTGTGAAGGCTGATGTGGAGATCTATGGGTTTGAAAATAGAGGTGCGCAACCATACATGTCATTCAATTCCTTAGAATAAATATGTTTTAAAATTTGAATTCGCTAAGCTTTCAAGGGCTGGCTTTGGGTAAACGCCTTGTCCAATGTAAGTACGTCTTGAACTCTATAGTGACCACTCTCCTGCTAAGACCAATGTTAAAACACTGTTAACAGCTCTCTTTCACTGTGTCCCACACAAATGTGTGTGTGTCAGTATCAGTGTTGTGTGTGACTATCGGTGTTGTGTGTGTCTGTCAGTATCAGTGTTGTGTGTGTCAGTGTTGTGTGTGCCTGCCAGTGTCAGTGTTGTGTGTGTCTGTGAGTGTCAAAGATTTCTTTTGGGTCTATGTTTTGTGGGTGTCATGCAATGTGTGTCAAGATACTGCATGTGTCTTCTAGTATCAGTGTTTTTTTGTGTGAGAAATAGTATCAATAGGCTGTGTGTGTTTGCACGTGTCAGTGTGTTGAGTGAGTCCAGTAGTACCAGTTTGTTGTGTGTGACAATCCACTGATTTGCAGGTGCCTACTTATATAATGCAGATATTTGAATAGTGAAAGTGTTTGTCTGGTGTCTAGGTAACATGGTAGTGGAGAAGCGAGCCTACATGTTCCCACCTCCATATCTGCTGACCCAGGGCAGTCAGTACGCCATCATGGCACTTGACTCCAGCTGGAGGGCCAACTCACTGGAATCTCTTGCAAAATGTGATGCCATGCCCACACGACTTACAGGTGAGTCCACATACCTGCCCACATGACTGACAGGTGAGTCCACCCACCCACCCTCACATCTCGCAGGTGAGTCCACCCTCCTACCCTCAAAACTCATTGGTGGGTCACCCACCCACCCTCACATCTCGCAGGTGAGTCACCCACCCACCCTCAGATCTTGCAGGTGAGTCCACCCTCCTACCCTCACATCTCATTGATGAGTCACCCACCTACTCTCACATCTCGCAGGTGAGTCACCCACCCACCCTCACATCTTGCAGGTGAGTCCACCCTCCTACCCTCACATCTCATTGGTGAGTCACCCACCCACCCTCACATCTCACAGGTGAGTCACCCACCCATCCTCACATCTCACAGGTGAGTCCACCCACCCACCCTCACATCTTGCAGGTGAGTCCACCCTCCTACCCTCACCTCATTGGTGAGTCACCCACATCCCTCACATTGGCAGGTGAGTCACCCACCCACCCTCACATCTTGCAGGTGAGTCCACCCTCCTACCCTCACATCTCATTGATGAGTCACCCACCTACTCTCACATCTCGCAGGTGAGTCACCCACCCACCCTCACATCTTGCAGGTGAGTCCACCCTCCTACCCTCACATCTCATTGGTGAGTCACCCACCCACCCTCACATCTCACAGGTGAGTCACCCTCCTACCTTCACATCTCACAGGTGAGTCCACCCACCTACCCTCGAATCTGGCAGGTGAGTCCACCTACCAGCACACATAAATCACCAGTACAAATGAGTGGTTGCATCCACAACCAGTGATATACTGCAAATGTAGGCATTGCTTTTCATAACAGGTCACTAAGTTGGAGTACTGGTGTCATATATATATAGATGTATGTAGATGTATATATGGTATGCCTTGAACAAACATTAGGTAGACATGTCATTACACAAATTGTATGTAACTATGTTGTTGAACATATAGGTGAGTGGTGTCTCTTCCAGTGCAAGAGCTGCAGATTTCAGACCTCAGCAAGAAGTTGGCTGCGTGGTCTAAGGGTCACAAGAAAGACTCCCACCATTTGTTTGTGTTCCTGCCTCGCACCCTGGACTCGACCAAACTGTGCCATGCCCCCGTCTTGCAGCTGTACAATGACATCGAGGTCCACAGGCTCTGTTTCCGTGGAGGTCAGTAACTCATTCTGTGCTTTTTCCATGAAGGTGAGTAAGCATCACCTGGTTTTTTACGCAGAGCTCATTTCTGTTTCTGTAAAGATGACTTGCGTCATCTGTTTGGTCTCTATGAAGGTCAGTGTTACTCAGGTGACTTGTGTCATCTGTGGAGATCAGTACCTTTAATGTTCCTTGTCCATTTGTGTGGAAGTGAGCAGCTCTAACAGTTTCAGTGAAGGGATGGTTCAGTAGAGATGAGTAGCTTCAACTATGTATATTTCCTGCTTGTTATGTTTCATGTTAGTATCCATCATTCTTTAGTTCTGGCTCTGTGGATGTCATTCCCTCATCCCTTCTGATCCAAAATTCTTTCGTATGGTTTCCATGAAGCTTCATTTGTACATGTATCCTTATTATTTGGTTCCAGAATATGGTACAGGTTATGTTTGCTGTTTTAGACCAGGTTAATGAACAGTGGCAGGAGGAGATCTCCCTGGACATGCCTCTACACTTCGTGGACATGCCTCCAATTTCCCCCGAGGCTCCACTCCCTCTGGACCTTTTGTATGCCAGTCTCAACTCAGGATGGACTTACACAGCTCTTGTAGCTACAAAGGTAATCATTCCTCATGTACTCCAGTCTCAACTCAGGATGGACTTACACAGCTCTTGTAGCAACAAAGGTAATCCTTCCTCCTGTACACCAGTCTCAACTCAGGATGGACTTACACAGCTCTTGTAGCCACAAAGGTAATCCTTCCTCATGTACTCCAGTCTCAACTCAGGATGGACTTACACAGCTCTTGTAGCCACAAAGGTAATCCTTCCTCCTGTACACCAGTCTCAACTCAGGATGGACTTACACAGCTCTTGTAGCCACAAAGGTAATCATTCCTCCTGTACACCAGTCTCAACTCAGGATGGACTTACACAGCTCTTGTAGCCACAAAGGTAATCCTTCCTCCTGTACACCAGTCTCAACTCAGGATGGACTTACACAGCTCTTGTAGCCACAAAGGTAATCCATCCTCCTGTACACCAGTCTCAACTCAGGATGGACTTACACAGCTCTTGTAGCCACAAAGGTAATCCTTCCTCCTGTACTCCAGTCTCAACTCAGGATGGACTTACACAGCTCTTGTAGCCACAAAGGTAATCCTTCCTCCTGTACACCAGTCTCAACTCAGGATGGACTTACACAGCTCTTGTAGCCACAAAGGTAATCCTTCCTCCTGTACACCCAGTCTCAACTCAGGATGGACTTACACAGCTCTTGCAGCCACAAGGGTAATCCTTCCTCCATGTAATCCAGTCTCAACTCAGGATGGACTTAAACAGCTCTTTGTAGCCACAAAGGTAATCCTTCCTCCTGTACTCCAGTCTCAACTCAGGATGGACTTACACAGCTCTTGTAGCCACAAAGGTAATCCTTCCTCCTGTACACCAGTCTCAACTCAGGATGGACTTACACAGCTCTTGTAGCCAGAAAGGTAATCCTTCCTCATGTACACCAGTCTCAACTCAGGATGGACTTACACAGCTCTTGTAGCCACAAAGGTAATCCTTCCTCATGTACTCCAGTCTCAACTCAGGATGGACTTACACAGCTCTTGTAGCCACAAAGGTAATCCTTCCTCCTGTACACCAGTCTCAACTCAGGATGGACTTACACAGCTCTTGTAGCCACAAAGGTAATCCTTCCTCCTGTACTCCAGTCTCAACTCAGGATGGACTTACACAGCTCTTGTAGCCACAAAGGTAATCCTTCCTCCTGTACACCAGTCTCAACTCAGGATGGACTTACACAGCTCTTGTAGCCACAAAGGTAATCCTTCCTCATGTACACCAGTCTCAACTCAGGATGGACTTACACAGCTCTTGTAGCCACAAAGGTAATCCTTCCTCCTGTACACCAGTCTCAACCCAGGATGGACTTACACAGCTCTTGTAGCCACAAAGGTAATCCTTCCTCCTGTACACCAGTCTCAACTTACACAGCTCTTGTAGCCACAAGGGCACCACATACTTAAACAATATATTGGCCTACAGTTGGGGCACCACATACTTAAACAATAAATTGGCCTATGGTTGGGGCACTTCATACTTAAACAATAAATTGGCCTATGGTTGGGGCACTACATACTTAAACAATAAATTGGCCGACGGTTGGGGCACTACATACTTAAACAATAAATTGGCCTATGGTTGGGGCACTACATACTTAAACAATAAATTGGCCGACAGTTGGGGCACTCCATTTAAGCAATAAATTGGCCGACGGTTGGGGCACTACATACTTAAACAATAAATTGGCCGACGGTTGGGGCACTACATACTTAAACAATAAATTGGCCTACGGTTGGGGCACTACATACTTAAACAATAAATTGGCCTACAGTTGGGGCAGATTGCTAAGATGATAGGAACAATGGCACCAACCTGTCCCTGTAGGGTGGAGGGTCAGTCACCCCTTAACCAGCACTTCAAGCATTTGCTGACAACCACTGCAACAATCCTCACAAGCACACACTGTGAAGCTCATACACCTCCATGGCTGCTCAACTCTTACCTTGATTTCTGTATTTTCTCATTTCAGTTGAATCTGCCCAAAGTATGACAAGATGTTCTCAGGTGGAGAGCCAGCCTACTCCAGACGGCAGGTAAAGAAATATCACTAAATCAGACAAGTAAATCAGTTGGGTTTTAACAACGCTTGTAACGTTATTCCAGCTAAACCACAAGGAGTTCAGTTATATCACTATTTCAGGAAAGCACACTACCCCTGACAGCAGGTAGACTAATCTCACTAACCCTGACAACAGGTAGACAAATCCCACTACATCTGACAACAGGTAGACAAATCCTACTACCTGTGACAACAGGTAGACAAATCTCACTACATCTGACAGCAGGTAGACAAATCCTACTACCCGTGACAACAGGTAGACAAAGCTCACTACACCTGACAACAGGTAGACAAATCTCACTACACCTGACAACAGGTAGACAAATCTCACTACACCTGACAACAGGTAGACAAATCTCACTACCTGAAAACAGGTAGACAAACCCTGTGACAACAGGTAGACAAAGCTCACTACACCTGACAACAGGTAGACAAATCTCACTACATCTGACAACAGGTAGACAAATCTCACTACACCTGGCAACAGGTAGACTAATCTCACTACATCTGACAACAGGTAGACAAATCTTACTACACCTGACAACAGGTAGACAAAGCTCACTACACCTGACAACAGGTAGACAAATCTCACTACACCTGACAACAGGTAGACAAATCTCACTTCACCTGACAACAGGTAAACAAATCTCACTACAACTGACAGCAGGTAGACAAATCTTACTACATCTGACAACAGGTAGACAATTCCCACTACACCTGACAACAGGTAGACAAATCTAACTACACCTGACAACAGGTAGACAAATCTCACTACACCTGACAACAGGTAAACAAATATCACTACACCTGACAACAGGTAGACAAATCTCACTACACCTGGCAACAGGAAACAAATCTCACTACACCTGACAACAGGTAGACAAATCTCACTACATCTGACAACAGGTAGACAAATCTGACCTGACAACAGGTAGACAAATCTTACTACACCTGACAACAACAGGTACTACAAATCAGGTCACAAATACTACCTGACAACAGGTAGACAAGCTCACTACACCTGACAACAGGTAGACAAATCTTACTACATCTGACAACAGGTAGACAACATCATCACTACACCTGACAGCAGGTAGACAAATCTTACTGGCAACAGGTAGACACCTGGAGGTAGACAAATCTCACTACACCTGACAACAGGTAGACAAATCTCACTACACCTGGCAACAGGTAAACAAATCTCACTACACCTGACAACAGGTAGACAAATCTCACTACACCTGACAACAGGTAAACAAATCTCACTACACCTGACAACAGGTAGACAAATCTCACTACACCTGACAAGCAGGTAGACAAATCTTACTACACCTGACAACAGGTAGATAAATGCGTAGAGTTACCTCATGTTACCTACAGTTACATAGGTAACATTATCTCACTACACCTGACAGCAGTTAGACAAAGCTCACTACACCTGACAACAGTTAGACAAATCTCACTACACCTGACAACAGTTAGACAAATCTCACTACAACTGACAAGAGGTAAACAAATCTCACTACACCTGACAACAGATAGACAAATCTCACTACACCTGGCATCAGATAGACTAATCTCATTACACCTGACAACAGTTAGACAAATCTCACTACACCTGACAACAGGTAGACAAATCTCACTACACCTGACAACAGGTAGACAAATATCACTACACCTGACAACAGGTAGACAAATCTCACTACACCTGGCAACCGGGAAACAAATCTCACTACACCTGGCAACAGTTAGACAAATCTCACTACACCTGACAACAGGTAGACAAATCTTACTACACCTGACAACAGGTAGATAAATGCATAGAGTTACCTAATGTTAGCTAGAGTTACCTAATGTTGCCTAGAGTTACCTAATGTTACCTAATGTTACCTAGAGTTACCTAATGTTACCTAGAGTTACCTAATGTTGCCTAATGTTGCAGGTTGAGCATCTTCTGTCTTCATTACTGAGGGTTTTTGTGGCCCAGTGTCATATCTTTGCTGAGCAGCAGGGTGGGATGGATCTACAAGATGAGTTTAGAAATTATGCAAAAGCAGTCATGAAGGATATAAAAGCTGGTGACGTTCACCTGCAGAAGTTTAGTGGCCAGTGTGTTGACGACCCCTCTGTGTTGGTAATGTCTAAGTTCAAGAGGCGTGTTTTGTGCAAGGCCCACCTGCTCACCTCAGAGATGGACACGCTCATGGAGATGACTGACAATGTCGATGTCCATCATTTTGAGCCGTACCATGAGACTGTCAATACCTTCTGCCGGGAACTACCTCACCAGACATCTTTCTCTAAAGACTTCTTTCCAAGCTTCCCAAACCTGCAAGTCTTTTCACTTCACGAATGTGGCAAACTCACATCTCTTCCTGCAGGAGTGTCAGAATGTGCCCGCCTTAAGATTGTGTCATTCACAGAGAGTGCCATCAAAGAACTTCCCAGTGACATCTTCTTGGTGCCATCGCTGATACGACTCAATTGTCATATATTGCCTGTATCATCTTTACCCAATCAGTGGCCGGCATCAAGTCAGCTGACTCACCTTGAACTTGTTGGACTTCAGTTGACACAGATACCTGCAGACATTGGGGGCTTGCACGAATTGTTGACCTTGAACCTCAGCAGTAACCCTTTGACTGACATTCCCCCGGAAATCGGCCATTTGAAAAAACTGAAGGTTTTAAATCTATCAGGTATTTGTATATTCATCTTGTGCAGTCTTTTCTCCTGATTTTAGTTGATGTAGGTCATAGTCTCTTGTCTTGATGTAGGTCATAGTCTCTTGTCTTGATGTAGGTCATAGTCTCTTGTCTTGATGTTGGTCATAGTGTTTTGTCTTGATGTTGATCGTAGTCTCTTGATTTGATGTAGGTCATAGTCTATTGTCTACATGTTGATCATAGTCTCTTGTCTTCATGTTGGTCATAGTCTTTTGTCTTCATGTTGGTCATAGTCTCATAGTGTTTTGTCTTGATGTAGGTCATAGTCTCTCTTGTCTTGATGTAGGTCATAGTCTCTTGTCTTGATGTTGGTCATAGGTGTCTTTGTCTTGATGTTGATCATAGTCTGTTAATCTTCATGTTGATCATCTCTTGATTTGATGTAGGTCATAGTCTATTGTCTACATGTTGATCATAGTCTCATATGAAGGTTGTCTCATAGTCTCTTGTCTTCATGTTGGTCATGTAGGTCATAGTCTTGTCTCTTCATGTTGGTCATAGTCTCTTGTCTTGATGTTGATCATAGTCTGTTGTCTTGATGTAGGTCTTGATGTTGGTCATAGTCTGTTGTCTTCATGTTGGTCATAGTCATTTTGTCTTGGTCATATGTGTGGATCATAGTCTGTTGTCTTGATGTAGGTCATAGTCTGTTGTCTTGATGTAGGTCATAGTCTGTTGTCTTGATGTTGGTCATAGTCTGTTGTCTTGATGTAGGTCATAGTCTGTTGTCTTGATGTAGGTCATAGTCTGTTGTCTTGATGTAGGTCATAGTCTGTTGTCTTGATGTTGGTCATAGTCTCTTGTCTTGATGTAGGTCATAGTCTGTTGTCTTCATGTTGGTCATAGTCTGTTGTCTTGATGTTGGTCATAGTCTGTTGTCTTGATGTAGGTCATAGTCTCTTGTCTTGATGTAGGTCATAGTCTGTTCTCTTGATGTAGGTCATAGTCTCTTGTCTTGATGTAGGTCATAGTCTGTTGTCTTGATGTAGGTCATAGTCTGTTTTCTTGATGTTGGTCATAGTCTGTTGTCTTGATGTAGGTCATAGTCTGTTGTCTTGATGTAGGTCATAGTCTGTTGTCTTGATGTAGGTCATAGTCTGTTGTCTTGATGTATGTCATAGTCTGTTGTCTTGATGTTGGTCATAGTCTCTTGTCTTTATGTAGGTCATAGTCTGTTGTCTTCATGTAGGTCATAGTCTCTTGTCTTCATGTTGGTCATAGCCAACACTGGGGTTGATGATGGACACACTAAGGATGTTCAATCTCTCTTTTTCACATTGTAGGAATGGCCTGGATTACATTTGAAGGCTCCAAAACTGCAATGTCACGAGAGCAGTATGACAGCTGGTTTGATGACCACAAGTTTGTGCAGACCTATCTGCCCCAACTGGTGAGTGATGTAGGTATGTGTGGTGGACTTACCTGGCCCAATTGGTGAGTGATGTAGGTGTTTGTGGTGGACCTACCTGGCCCAACTGGCGAAGTGATGTCAGTGTGTGTAGTTGACCTACCTGGCCCAACTGGCGAGTGATGTCAGTGTGTGTGGTGGACCTACCTGGCCCAACTGGTGAGTGATGTCAGTGTGTGTAGTTGACCTACCTGGCCCAACTGGTGAGTGATGTCAGTGTGTGTAGTTGACCTACCTGGCCCAACTGGTGAGTGATGTCAGTGTGTGTGGTTGACCTACCTGGCCCAACTGGCGAGTGATGTCAGTGTGTGTGGTGGACCTACCTGGCCCAACTGGTGAGTGATGTGGGTGTGTGCGGTGGACCTACCTGGCCCAACTGGTGAGTGATGTCAGTGTGTGTAGTTGACCTACCTGGCCCAACTGGCGAGTGATGTAGGTTTGTGTAGTTGACCTACCTGGCCCAACTGGTGAGTGATGTAGGTGTGTGTAGTTGACCTACCTGGCCCAACTGCTGAGTGATGTCAGTGTGTGTGTTGGACCTACCTGGCCCAACTGGAGAGTGATGTCAGCGTGTGTGTAGTTGACCTACCTGGCCCAACTGGCGAGTGATGTAAGTGTGTGTAGTTGACCTACCTGGCCCAACTGGCGAGTGATGTAGGTGTGTGTGTTGGACCTACCTGGCCCAACTGGCGAGTGATGTAGGTGTGTGTGTAGTTGACCTACCTGGCCCAACTGGCGAGTGCTGTAGGTGTGTGTGTTGGACCTACCTGGCCCAACTGGCAAGTGATGTAGGTGTGTGTAGTTGACCTACCTGGCCCAACTGGTGAGTGATGTAGGTGTGTGTGGTGGACCTACCTGGCCCAACTGGCGAGTGATGTCAGTGTGTGTGGTGGACCTACCTGGCCCAACTGGTGAGTGATGTCAGTGTGTGTGGTTGACCTACCTGGCCCAACTGGTGAGTGATGTAGGTGTGTGTGGTGGACCTACCTGGCCCAACTGGTGAGAGTGATGTCACTGGTGAGTGATGTGTGTGTGGTGGACCTACCTGGCCCAACTGGTGAGTGATGTCAGTGTGTGTGGTGGACCTACCTGGCCCAACTGGCGAGTGATGTCAGTGTGTGTGGTGGACCTACCTTGCCCAACTGGAGAGTGATGTCGGGTGTGTGTGGTGGACCTACCTGGCCCAACTGGTGAGTGATGTCAGTGTGTGTGGTGGACCTACCTGGCCCAACTGCTGAGTGATGTCAGTGTGTGTGGTGGACCTACCTGGCCCAACTGGTGAGTGATGTAGGTGTGTGTGGTGGACCTACCTGGCCCAACTGGTGAGTGATGTCAGTGTGTGTGGTGGACCTACCTGGCCCAACTGGTGAGTGATGTCAGTGTGTGTGGTGGACCTACCTGGCCCAACTGGTGAGTGATGTCAGTGTGTGTGGTGGACCTACCTGGCCCAACTGGTGAGTGATGTAGGTGTGTGTGGTGGACCTACCTACCTGGCCCAACTGGTGAGTGATGTAGGTGTGTGTGGTGGACCTACCTGGCCCAACTGCTGAGTGATGTAGGTGTGTGTGGTGGACCTACCTGGCCCAACTGCTGAGTGATGTCTTTGTGTGTTGGACCAACTGAATTTTGTTATGCTGCCTTCAGGATACACAGAGAACATTCATGCAGCATGATGTGAACAAGAATGGGATGCTGGACGAGGAGGAGTTGGCGGTACTCAACCTGCGGCTGTACTGGGACATTCCTCGCATAGGCTCTGCCTGCATCAGTAGGTCACTCACTGTCATTCAGTGTCATGCAATGTCATACCTAAAACTGTCATACCACTGTCATCCCCAGGAATAAACACATGCAAAGTCACCTCCATACACTGTCGACCATCTCTACAGAGTCATCTCCTGGTCACACACTCTGTCTTGTAATGTCATACCTACACACTGTCATCTCCTGGTCACTCTGTCTTGTAATGTCATACCTACACACTGTCATCTCCTGGTCACACTGTCTTGTAATGTCATACCTACACACTGTCATCTCCTGGTCACTCTGTCTTGTAGTGTCATACCTACACACTGTCATCTCCTGGTCACTCTGTCTTGTAATGTCATACCTACACACTGTCATCTCCTGGTCATACTGTCTTGTAATGTCATACCTACACACTGTCATCTCCTGGTCACTCTGTCTTGTAATGTCATACCTACACACTGTCATCTACTGGTCACACTGTCTTGTAATGTCATACCTACACACTTTCATCTCCTGGTCACTCTGTCTTGTAATGTCATACCTACACACTGTCATCTCCTGGTCACACTGTCTTGTAATGTCATACCTACACACTGTCATCTACTGGTCACACTGTCTTGTAATGTCATACCTACACACTGTCATCTCCTGGTCACTCTGTCTTGTAATGTCATACCAACACACTGTCATCTCCTGGTCATCACGCTGTCATCTCCTGGTCATCACACTGTCATCCCCTTGTCACTTACTGTCATCTCCTGGTCATCAAACTGTCATCTCCTGGTCACACACTGTCATCTCGGGGCAGTGGAGTAGCCTAGTGGTTAAAGCGTTGGCTGCTCACACCAAAGACCCGGGTTCGAATCCCCACATGGGTACAATGTGTGAAGCCCATTTCTGGTGTCACCAGCCGTGCTGTTGCTGGAATATTGCTAAAAGCGGCTTAAAACCAAACTCAGTCAGTCAGTCAGTCACTGTTATCTACTGGTCACACACTATCATCTCCTGGTCATCACACTGTCATTTTCTGGTCACATACAGTCATCTCCTGGTCACACATTGTCATCTCCTGGTCACACACTGTCATCTCCTAGTCACATACTGTCATCTCCTGGGCACACACTGTCATCTCTTGGTCACACACTGTCATCTCCTGGTCACACACTGTCATCTCTTGGTCACACACTGTCATCTCCTGGTCACACACTGTCATCTTCTGGTCACATAATGTCATCTTGTGGTCACACACTATCATCTCCTGGTCACATACTGTCATCTCCTGCTCACACACTGTCATCTCCTGCTCACATACTGTCATTTCCTGGTCACACAATGTCATCTCCTGGTCATCACACTGTCATCTCCTGGTCACACACTGTCATCTCCTGGTCACACACTGTCATCTCCTGGTAACATACTGTCATCTCCTGGTCACACTGTCATCTCCTGGTCATCTGTCATCTCCTGTCACACTGTCATCTCCACATACTGTCATCTCCTGGTCTCCTGTCATCTCCTGGTCACACACTGTCATCTCCTGGTCACACTGTCATCTCCTGGTCACATACTGTCATCTCCTGGTCACACACTGTCATCTCCTGGTCACATACTGTCATCTCCTGGTCACATACTGTCATCTCCTGGTCACACACTGTCATCTCCTGGTCACACACGGTCATTTCCTGGTCACACACTGTCATCTATTGGTCACACACTGTCATCTCCTGGTCACACACTGTCATCTCCTGGTCACTAATCCTGGTCACACACTGTCATCTCCTGGTCACATACTGTCATCTCCTGGTCACACACTGTCATCTCCTGGTCACATACTGTCATCTCCTGGTCACATACTGTCATCTCCTGGTCACATACTGTCATCTCCTGGTCACACACTGTCATCTCATGGTCACCCTGTCTTGCAATGTAATGTAACAGCATGCCTGGTTTCAGCTGATGATGAGTATGGCGGCATCCCAAAGGCGGTGTTTCGGATGTCAGCTCTGGAGGAGCTGTACCTGGAGTACACCGCCATCACTGCCATCCCAGTCTACATGTGTCGCCTCGTCAATCTGCGCGTGCTCAGCCTCGAGCACTGCCCCCTGCTGGAGAGCTTGCCTGGGTCACTCGGTCACCTCCCCAACATGAAGAGTAAGTCTTACTCCTGCCCTCACTGCATGCTAGATCAGGAGGAAGGCTTGCTGACAAAACTGTTGACAATCTTGTACGAATATCTCATATTGTCAACACTGACTGTTGCTTACCATTACCGAGGCAAAGATTAATAGTATCCCCTCTTGAGGGAACAGTTAGGAGCATCACTAGGAGCCAGTATAATGTATTTAGATAGGGTGTCCATGTCCATAGGGTGTCCAATCTACAATACTCAGGTGGCTTAAAATGTGAAATGACCACAAACATGGCCTCAACTCTAACAAGGAGAATGTTGATTCACATGTGACAATTTTACTTGCAGAATTAGACTTGATTGGTTGTCCCTCCTTGAGAACCCCACCCAATGAGGTTGTGAGTCGTGGCTTTGAGCCCGTCAAGGCATATCTGAAACGACTGGCTGGAGGCTTCACAGCGTGCCGCAGAACCAAGCTGATGCTGGTGGGGTTGGGAGGTGCTGGCAAGACAAGGTAGACCACTCTTCATCCCCTTCATCAATACTGAAGACCCGGGTATCGAATCCCCACATGGGTACAATGTGTGAAGCCCTTTTCTGGTGTCCCCCATGCGATGTTGCTGGAATATTGCTAAAAGCGCATAAACCAAAACTCAGTCAGTCAGTCATCAATACTGTAATTAGAACCCTCTATCAATGGGTGTGATGTAGGATATAGTGCCCAGTACATATAGGATATGGTGCCTAGTAGAATAGTAGTATAAGTTGGTACCCAGTAGGTATAAGATATAGCACCCAGTAAATATTGGATATGGTGTCTAGTAGAATAGTGCTCAGTAGGTATAAGATATAGCACCCAGTAAATATTGGATATGGTGTCTAGTAGAATAGTGCTCAGTAGGTATAAGATATAGCACCCAGTAAATATTGGATATGGTGTCTAGTAGAATAGTGCTCAGTAGGTATAAGATATAGCACCCAGTAAATATTGGATATGGTGTCTAGTAGAATAGTGCTCAGTAGGTATAAGATATAGCACCCAGTAAATATTGGATATGGTGTCTAGTAGAATAGTGCTCAGTAGGTATAAGATATAGCACCCAGTAAATATTGGATATGGTGTTTAGTAGAATAGTGCTCAGTAGGTATAAGATAGAGCACCCAGTACATATAGGATATGGAGTCTAGTAGAGTAGTGCTCAGTAGGTATAAGATATAGCACCCAGTAAATATTGGATATGGTGTCTAGTAGAATAGTGCTCAGTGGGTATAAGATAGAGCACCCAGTAAATATTGGATATGGTGTCTAGTAGAATAGTGCTCAGTAGGTGTAATCATGGCAAGATTCCCACTTAGTTTGATATACTTGTAATCACACTTTCTTAGCAAAGTACAGATGCTAGTTCTTTTGGGGATTGACTCCCATGCGTGATTAGAACCCAGATTACTAGCACACAAAGTCAGCTGAAAAATGCAAGTTGTAGATTGGAAGAAACATTGGAAAAATGGAAACATTTGAATCATGAAATTTCCAAAACTTTGTTCTATTACTGTGCTAGATATTCTCATAGGATTGACTACATTGAGACAGATTTTGCGAGTACATTTCTTGAAAGAGATTTGCACTCTAAGCAGCTTAGTACAGAAGTTCTGGGAAATAAAAAGCTTGATGAATTGTCTGCAGTTGAAATTGTTAGAAAGACACCTCAGTACAGCAGTGATCAAGTAGGCATACCTTCTAGATATGAAACACAGAGGTTACCAGATAACTATGAGATGGCTTTATCTTGTCTTCTGACAAGAAACTGTCCCAGGATAAAGAGATGGCTAGAACCCATATTTCAGTTATTTACAAGAAGGATACATCATTGCAAGGAGGTACATGAGGGTAAATGGCGTCTACTTTGGTTTCCAGGTGTCGGTCCAGACTTAGCTATTACTGAATCTTATGCTTCTGAAAAGTGTCAGTGAGTTTCACTCAATGTCATAATACATCCTGGACAATAATTGAAGACTGATATTTTTTGGGAAGCAGTCTATAGCACTTGTTTGTGACATCTCAGAAATATACCTACATATTGAAGTGAAACCTGAGGATCGTAAATACCTAACGTTTCTATATATGGCGATCCATGAATTCAACTGAAGAAACGCAAGAGTTCAACATTGTGTTTGGTTTGATGACTGGGATAGATTTGTATGATCATTCAGTTTGGCACACATCAGGTATGCATCTGGGTTTTCAATCATTGGATACATATGAGGAATTACTGTTAGAATTTAGGGCACAGAAGGTGAAGATAAACAGAATTCCCTTAGTGAAAACACCAGGAGTGTCTGGATAGCAGAGATGATAGCAGGTCAGTTTTGTATGAATGGTCCTGTAGACATGTAGAGAAAAACCTCAAGAATATGTTCTCAGAAATTGCAGGGATCTTTGATCTGCTTGTATCCTTGACACCTTTCTCCTTTGTAGGGAAAAGAGATGTGGGTAGCAGGTTTCAGCTGGAATGAAGTCCTTGATCTGCTTCTGAAACTTAGAACTTAATTCTTAAAAGTCAGAAAGGGTTAGATGAAGTTCAAGAGTTGAGGAGTTATGTAATATCAGAGTACCACAGTGCATCAGAAAGAAATCTAAATTAGAAAAGGAAACATTCGATGTGTTTGTAGCGGCATCGACATACTAAACTTGCCAAAGCAGCCAAGTGTCAAGTCGTTAGGCGCTCCTTTTCAATCTGTTAATTCCAACAATGGAATGGATAGCAATCCTAGATGTCATGTTGTCAGTTTCTTCAGTGGCGGTGTTCCAGATGGCCACTCTAACACCCAGTTTTAGTGCGACAGTATAAATTTCTATGCTGGATAAAAGGCAGAGTAAAATGACAGTGGAAATATGCTCCATCTCCTTTAAAACCTGCAGATATACTTGCCACAGGCACAGCGATAGAGAACATAGACTTGCCACAGGCACAGCAGTAGAGAACATAGACTTGCCACAGGCACAGCAGGAGAGAACATCGACTTGCAAGACAGAAGCTGGGTGAAAAGAATTACTGTGAAACATGACCATAAATCTGGTTAATATGCAATAGGTACAAATCAAACTATAGCTGCACTCTCCTCAAGAGTTTACTGCTCATGAACAAATTCAAGCATGTGAGACAGAATGTGCTTTTTGTCAAAAATACTGAAAAGAGGCAAAAGGCTAAACCAAGATCTCAGATTATGGCTCCACTTCCAAAGTTAAGGGAGAGCTATTCACTGACAGTTTTCATAAGTTGGAGTGGATTACTATACATCTGGGATCTGGCACTTTTCTCAGTGCAGATTCTGGTTCAGTCCCATCTGGGATTTGAACCCACACTCAGAGTCTTGCTGACCTTAATAAATTAACTCTCCATGACCTTGAAACATTAACTCTTCATGACCTTGATAAATTAACTCTCCATGACCTTGAAACATTAACTCTTCATGACCTTGATAAATTAACTCTTCATGACCTTGAAACACTAACTCTTCATGACCTTGATAAATTAACTCTTCATGACCTTGAAACATTAACTCTTCATGACCTTGATAAATTAACTCTCCATGACCTTGAAACATTAACTCTTCATGACCTTGATAAATTAACTCTTCATGACCTTGAAACATTAACTCTTCATGACCTTGATAAATTAACTCTCCTGACCTTTAAACATTCACTCTTCCTGACCTTGAAACATTAACTCTCCCTGACCTTCAAACATTAACTCTTCCTGACCTTTAAACATTACGCCTTCCTGACCTCAACTCTCCAGCATTAACTCTCCATGACCTTGACCATCCCTGACATTAACTCTCCATGACCTCAAAACATTAACCATCCCTGACCTTGAAACATTAACTCTCCATGACCTCAAAACATTAACTCTCCATGACCTTGAAATATAAACCCCTTGTGTTCTTCAGCCTTCTGAAGGCTCTCATGAGTCACAACAAGAAAACAGAGGGGACGAAGGGAGAGGATATCACAGACGGAATAGTCATCCAGCCTTGGACGGTGAAGACTGATGATGATATAGAAATCACCTACAACACCTGGGACTTTGCAGGACAAACCCTCTACTATAACACACACCAGGTACATAACCCTCTACTGTAATACACACCAGGTACATAACCTCTACTATAACACACACCAGGTACATAGCCCTCTACTATAACACACACCAGGTACATAACCCTCTACTGTTATGCACATCAGGTACATAACCCTCTACTGTAACACACACCAGGTACATAACCCTCTACTATAACACACACCAGGTACATAACCCTCTACTGTTATGCACATCAGGTACATAACCCTCTACTGTAACACACACCAGGTACATAACCCTCTACTGTTATGCACATCAGGTACATAACCCTCTACTGTAACACACACCAGGTACATAACCCTCTACTATAACACACACCAGGTACATAACCCTCTACTGTTATGCACATCAGGTACATAACCCTCTACTATAACACACACCAGGTACATAACCTCTACTTTAACACACACCAGGTACATAACCCTCTACTGTAACACACACCAGGTACATAACCCTCTACTGTAACACAAACCAGGTACATAACCCTCTACTATAACACACACCAGGTACATAACCCTCTACTATAACACACACCAGGTACGTAACCCTCTACTATAACACACACCAGGTACATGGCCTCTACTATAACACACACCAGGTACATAACCCTCTACTGTAACACACACCAGGTACATGGCCTCTACTGTAACACAAACCAGGTACATAACCCTCTACTATAACACACACCAGGTACATAACCCTCTACTATAACACACACCAGGTAATGTGAACCCTCTACTATAACACACACCAGGTACATGGCCTCTACTATAACACACACCAGGTACATAACCCTCTACTATAACACACACCGGGTATATTCACCTCTACTATAACACACACCAGGTACATAACCCTCTACTGTAACACACACCAGGTACATAGCCCTCTACTGTAGCACACACCAGGTACATAGCCCAGGTACATGTTGTTACCGAGTAGACATTCTTTGCCTCCTGTTATAGCAATGTAGTCCTATTGTGTCCCAGTTATAACAGTGTAATCATGTATTATAACATACCCTATTTTCTCCAGTTTTTCCTATCCAAGAGAGCTGTGTACATCTTGCTGTGGTCAACGCGCCAAGGGTTCGAGCATGCTGGTCTGGACTTCTGGCTCAGCTCCATTGCTTGCCACGCCCCCAAGACACCCATCTTCGTGGTTGGCACCCACTGTGATCAAGTGCGTAAATCTTACTTAAAAGGACAGGGGTATGTTGAACCCGAGAGAGAGAGAGAGAGAGAGAGAGAGAGAGAGAGAGAGAGAGAGAGAGACAGAGAGAGGGAGAGAGAGAGGGGGGGAGGGAGACTCAGCTGCTCCTTGCAAAGGTGTGAGGATGTACCCAAGTCGGCTGTTCATTACAGGTACCAAAGGCTGATATTCCTGTTTCGGAGCTCACCAGGAGATATCCACAGATTGCTGGCTTCCATTTCATCAGCTCGGTCACAGGCATGGTGAGTATCTAGTGTTGTAGGCACCAAAGGTGGCCAGGTAAGGTGAGAGGAAGTAGGTGTCAAATTTAGTCAAAACGGCATCAGAGCAATTCTGGTGGGTCATCAGAGCTATTCTGGTGGGTCATCAGAGTTATTCTGGTGGGTTTATCAGAGCTAATAGGGGAAGACATCAGCTCAGGCAGCTAGTATAGTAGACCTCAGACATAGCGAAGGAAACTTCAGAGAAAGCGGTGTAGACATCATGCATAGGGAACATTTAGCAGAGAAATCTGGGTAGACATAGCCGGGGGAAACTTCAGAGAAATCTGGGTAGACATAGTTAGGAAACTGCAGAGAAAGTTGGGTAGACATAGCCGGGGAAACTTCAGAGAAATCTGGGTAGACATAGTTAGGAAACTGCAGAGAAAGTTGGGTAGACATAGCCGGGGAAAATTCAGAGAAAGTTGGGTAGACATAGTTAGGAAATTTCAGAGAAAGCTTGGTAGACAAAAAGACATAGCTAGGGAAACTTCAGAGAAAGCTGGGTAGACATAAGACATAGCTAGGGAAACTTTTAGAGAAAGCTGGGTAGACATAAGACATAGCCAGGGAAACTTCAGAGAAAGCTGGGTAGACATCAGACATAGCTAGGGAAAGTTTAGAGAAAGCTTGGTAGACATCAGACATAGCTAGGGAAACTTCAGAGGAAGATGGGTAGACATCACACATGGCCAGGGAAAGTTTAGAGAAAGGCGGGTAGACATCAGACATAGCTAGGGAAATGTCAGAGAAAGCTTGGTAGACATCGGACATAGCTAGGGAAAGTTTAGAGAAAGCTGGGTAGACATCAGACATAGCTAGGGAAACGTCAGAGAAAGATGGGTAGACAAAAGACATAGCAAGGGAAACTTCAGAGAAAGGGGGGAAACATCAGACATAGCTAGGGAAACTTCAGAGAAAGCTGGGTAGACATAAGACATATCTAGGGAAACTTCAGAGAAAGCTGGGTAGACATCAGACATAGCTAGGGAAACTTCAGAGAAAGCTGGGTAGACATTAGACATAGCTAGGGAAACTTCAGAGAAAGCTGGGTAGACATAAGACATAGCCAGGGAAACTTCAGAGAAAGCTGGGTAGACATAAGACATAGCTATGGAAAGTTTAGAGAAAGCTTGGTAGACAAAAGACATAGCCAGGGAAACTTCAGAGGAAGATGGGTAGACATCACACATAGCCAGGGAAAGTTTAGAGAATGGCGGGTAGACATCAGACATAGCTAGGGAAACGTAAGAGAAAGCTTGGTAGACATCAGACATAGCTAGGGAAAGTTTAGAGAAAGCTGGGTAGACATCAGACATAGCTAGGGAAACGTCAGAGAAAGATGGGTAGACAAAAGACATAGCAAGGGAAACTTCAGAGAAAGGCAGGTAGACATCAGACATAGCTAGGGAAACTTCAGAGAAAGCTGGGTAGACATAAGACATAGCTAGGGAAACTTCAGAGAAAGCTGGGTAGACATCAGACATAGCTAGGGAAACTTCAAAGAAAGCTGGGTAGACATAAGATATAGCTAGGGAAACTTCAAAGAAAGCTGGGTAGACATCAGACATAGCTAGGGAAACTTCAGAGAAAGCTTGGTAGACATCAGACATAGCTAGGGTAACTACAGAGGAAGCTGGGTGAGGTAAGAGATGCGTCATCAAATTCATATTAGTGATCAAATGTGATCAACGGTCAGATGCATGGCATTGGTCAAGTGTACTCAATCAAATGTAGCAAATGGTCAAATTAAGTCAGAGGACAAATGAAATCAGTGATCAAACTTAGAGCTCATAGGTTATCTGTGGTCATTGGCATGTCAGTGTTGAAATGTGTTCAGTGTTGAAATGTGTTCAGTGGTCAAATATATATCAGTGGTCAAATGTATATCAGTCAATGGTCAAGTGAGTATGAGTGATTAAATATAGTCAGTGATGAAATATAGTCAGTGATTAAATGCTTATCAGTAGTAAAATTTTGTCAGTGGTCAAGTGTTTATTAGTGAAATGAAATCAGTGATCAAATGCATATCTGTGCTTAAGTACATACCTCAAATGGGGTCAGTGATCAAATGTATGTATGTGATGAAATGTATGGCAGTGTTCAAATGCATGTCAGTGATCAAATGCATGTCAGTGATCATATTGGAGTCAGTGATGAAATGCATGTCAGTGATCATATTGGAGTCAGTGATCATATTGGAGTCAGTGATCATATTATTAGTGGTGTGATGATTCATCGATGCGCATCAATGCATCAATCCATGGGCAGGCGATACAGTGAATCGATACAAAGTTTCACATTGTTGTATATCCCGATACGATACATCAAATGGCCACGATACATCAATGTTTAACTTTGAATATTGCTGAATCACGATATCTGTCAACATATGCTGTTTTTTAAAATCAGCACAAATTTCGTTCTATTATATGACTGCAGTGAGAGCACCCAGCAACATGCACATATTAAAGATGTCTTTGATCTATGTTTTTTTTGTTAAATAACAGTATTATGGTTTTGTTTGTTTTGTACTTGTTTTTTTAAAAAAGTGCCTAATGTAACTGTTTTCAAATTAAAGTTTCTTTCATTTAAACATTGTTTTTGTTTGGATATTTAGGTTTTTAGGTAGGTGTTAGAATTTAAGGTTTTAGTATCTAGATACGTGTCGTATCGCAATCCTTATATCGGGATTCGTATCATATCGCAGCTTCAGTGCACAATACTTTAGCAATATATCAACACGACTAAAATTTTAGTATCGTGATATATCGTATCGCAGGTTGCCTGCCAATACCAGCACTACATATTATCATATCGCAGGTTGCATGCCAATATCAGCACTACATATTATAGTCAGTGAACATATTGGAGTCAGTGATCATATTGGAGTCAGTGATCATATTGGAGTCAGTGATCGTTTGTTTTCAGGGCGTGGCTGATTTGGAGAAACAGCTGTTAAAAGTCACCTTGGAGCAGAAGAACATGGGTGAGAAGATACCGCAAGTGTGGTTGAATCTGGAGAAGAAGATCCTGGCGTAAGGCAATCTAGACACTCCTCATACACATTAAGTGTGAATCTTTTCACTTAATGTAAAATGTGAAATAATGTCAAATAGGAGTTATGGAAAGTTAAATGACTAAAGAGTTTTGATTGAATTCTTGTTACATTTGCTAGGGCACGTTCATCAACCAGTATCCTCAAGTGGGAGGTCATCAAGGAGTATGGCATGGAGGTCGGCATCTACGATGAGAAAGATGTAAGTACTCTTATCAAGTTAGCTACATGTTTGGAGTTTCAAGTCATGTATTTATGCATCATGCCTGACAAGTCAAAGAATAGCAACTTCTCAATACCCATCCGTCTTCTACTTAGATTTTCAAACATTCTGTAAATTCCTGAATCTCATATCAACTACACAGCTTCTAATGATCTGTGAAAGAGGCAGTAGGTTTGATCTTCAGTGAGACAAGTCCCATAACCACATCAGTATCAACTGCTAGGCTTATTGATGCTTAACTTGCAGCATGTTTATTGGGTAATCATCTAAACATGTCTTCTCCAACATTGTTAACACCTGTAAACTACTCAGTACCTACACAGATACTACATAGTACCCACACAGATACTACTCAGTACCTACACAGATACTACATAGTACCCACACAGATACTACTCAGTACCTACACAGATACTACATAGTACCCACACAGATACTACTCAGTACCTATACAGATACTACTCAGTACCTACACAGATACTACATAGTACCCACACAGATACTACTCAGTACCTACACAGATACTACATAGTACCCACACAGATACAACTCAGTACCTATACAGATACTAGACAGTACCTATACAGATACTACTCAGTACCTACACAGATACTACTCAGTACCTACACAGATACTACATAGTACCCACACAGATACAACTCAGTACCTATACAGATACTACACAGTACCTATACAGATACTACTCAGTACCTACACAGATACTACTCAGTACCTACACAGATACTACTCAGTACCTATACAGATACTACTCAGTACCTATACAGATACAACTCAGTACCTATACAGATACAACTCAGTACCTATACAGATACTACTCAGTACCTACACAGATACTACTCAGTACCTATACAGATACTACTCAGTACCTATACAGATACAACTCAGTACCTATACAGATACAACTCAGTACCTATACAGATACTACACAGTACCTATACAGATACTACTCAGTACCTATACAGATACTACTCAGTACCTATACAGATACTACTCAGTACCTATACAGATACAACTCAGTACCTATACAGATACTACTCAGTACCTATACAGATACTACTCAGTACCTATACAGATATACAGATACTCAGTACCTATACAGATACAACTAGTACCTACAGTACCTACACAGATACTACTCAGTACCTATACAGATACCACTCAGTACCCACACAGATACAACTCAGTACCTATACAGATACAACTCAGTACCTATACAGATACTACTCAGTACCTATACAGATACAACTCAGTACCTATACAGATACATGGGGGGTGGGGTCAGTGGTTAAAGCGCTGGTTCACACCCGAAGACCCGGTTCGATCCCACATGGGCACAATGTGTTAAGCCCATTTCTGGTGTCACTGTGATATTGCTGGAATATTGCTAAAAAGCAGTGAAACTAAACTCAGTCAGTCAGCCTATACAGATACTACTCAGTACCTATACAGATACAACTCAGTACCTATACAGATACTACTCAGTACCTATACAGATACTACTCAGTACCTATACAGATACAACTCAGTACCTATACAGATACTACTCAGTACCTATATAGATACTACCTAGTACCCACACAGATACTACTCAGTACCTATACAGATACTACTCAGTACCTATACAGATACAACTCAGTACCTATACAGATACTACTCAGTACCTATACAGATACTACTCAGTACCTACACAGATACTACTCAGTACCTATACAGATACAACTCAGTACCTATACAGATACTACTCAGTACCTATACAGATACAACTCAGTACCTATACAGATACAACTCAGTACCTATACAGATACAACTCAGTACCTATACAGATACAACTCAGTACCTATACAGATACAACTCAGTACCTATACAGATACTACTCAGTACCTATACAGATACTACTCAGTACCTATACAGATACTCACTCAGTACCTATACAGATACAACTCAGTACCTATACAGATACTACTCAGTACCTATACAGATACAACTCAGTACCCACACAGATACTACTCAGTACCTATACAGATACTACTCAGTACCCACACAGATACTACTCAGTACCTATACAGATACAACTCAGTACCTATACAGATACAACTCAGTACCTATACAGATACTACTCAGTACCTATACAGATACAACTCAGTACCTATACAGATACAACTCAGTACCTATACAGATACTACTCAGTACCTATACAGATACTACTCAGTACCTATACAGATACTACTCAGTACCTATACAGATACAACTCAGTACCCATACAGATACTACTCAGTACCTATACAGATACAACTCAGTACCTATACAGATACTCAGTACCTCAGTACCTATACCTATAGATACAACTCAGTACCTATACAGATACCTATACAGATACTACTCAGTACCTATACAGATACTACTCAGTACCTATACAGATACTACTCAGTACCTATACAGATACTACTCAGTACCTATACAGATACTACTCAGTACCTATACAGATACTACTCAGTACCTATACAGATACTACTCAGTACCTATACAGATACAACTCAGTACCTATACAGATACTACTCAGTACCTATACAGATACTACTCAGTACCTATACAGATACTACTCAGTACCTATACAGATACAACTCAGTACCTATACAGATACTACTCAGTACCTATACAGATACTACTCAGTACCTATACAGATACTACTCAGTACCTATACAGATACTACTCAGTACCTATACAGATACAACTCAGTACCTATACAGATACTACTCAGTACCTATACAGATACAACTCAGTACCTATACAGATACTCAGTACCTCAGTACCTACAGATACAGATACAACTCAGTACCTATACAGATACTACTCAGTACCTATACAGATACAACTCAGTACCTATACAGATACAACTCAGTACCTATACAGATACAACTCAGTACCTATACAGATACTCAGTACTCAGTACCTATACAGATACTACTCAGTACCTATACAGATACTACTCAGTACCTATACAGATACTACTCAGATACTACTCAACCTATACAGATACTACTCAGTACACCTCATACAGATACAACTCAGTACCTATACAGATACTACTCAGTACCTATACAGATACTACTCAGTACCTATACAGATACTACTCAGTACCTATACAGATACAACTCAGTACCCATACAGATACAACTCAGTACCTATACAGATACTACTCAGTACCTATACAGATACTACTCAGTACCTATACAGATACTACTCAGTACCTATACAGATACTACTCAGTACCTATACAGATACTACAGTACCCATACAGATACTACTACCTCAGTACCTATACAGATACAACTCAGTACCTATACAGATACTACTCAGTACCTATACAGATACTACTCAGTACCTATACAGATACTACTCAGTACCTATACAGATACAACTCAGTACCTATACAGATACTACTCAGTACCTATACAGATACAACTCAGTACCTATACAGATACAACTCAGTACCTATACAGATACTACTCAGTACCTATACAGATACTACTCAGTACCTATACAGATACAACTCAGTACCCACACAGATACAACTCAGTACCTATACGGATACAACTCAGTACCTATACAGATACTACTCAGTACCTATACAGATACAACTCAGTACCTATACAGATAATGTGGGCGTGGGGTAGCCTAGTGGTTAAAGTTGGTTACAGACACCTATAAGACCGGGTTACCGATACCCCACATGGGCACAATGTGTTAAGCCCATTTCTGGTGTCCCCATACGTGATATTGCTGGAATATTGCTAAAAACAGATAAAACTAAACTCAGTCAGTCAGCCTATACAGATACTACTCAGTACCTATACAGATACAACTCAGTACCTATACAGATACTACTCAGTACCTATACAGATACTACTCAGTACCTACACAGATACAACTCAGTACCTATACAGATACTACTCAGTACCTACATAGATACTACTCAGTACCCACACAGATACTACTCAGTACCTATACAGATACTACTCAGTACCTATACAGATACAACTCAGTACCTATACAGATACTACTCAGTACCTATACAGATACTACTCAGTACCCACACAGATACTACTCAGTACCTATACAGATAAAACTCAGTACCTATACAGATACTACTCAGTACCTATACAGATACAACTCAGTACCTATACAGATACTACTCAGTACCTATACAGATACAACTCAGTACCTATACAGATACTACTCAGTACCTATACAGATACAACTCAGTACCCATACAGATACAACTCAGTACCTTTACAGATACAACTCAGTACCTATACAGATACTACTCAGTACCTATACAGATACTACTCAGTACCTATACAGATACAACTCAGTACCTATACAGATACAACTCAGTACCTATACAGATACAACTCAGTACCTATACAGATACTACTCAGTACCTATACAGATACTACTCAGTACCTATACAGATACAACTCAGTACCTATACAGATACTACTCAGTACCTATACAGATACAACTCAGTAGTACCTATACAGATACTACTCAGTACCTATACAGATACTACTCAGTACCTATACAGATACTACTCAGTACCTATACAGATACAACTCAGTACCTATACAGATACTACTCAGTACCTATACAGATACTACTCAGTACCTATACAGATACTCAGTACCTCAGTGCCTATACAGATACAACTCAGTACCTACAGATACAACTCAGACAGATACCCTCAGTACCTATACAGATACAACTCAGTACCTATACAGATACAACTCAGTACCTATACAGACTACAACTCAGTACCTATACAGATACAACTCAGTACCCTATACAGATACTACTCAGTACCTATACAGATACAACTCAGTACCTATACAGATACTACTCTCAGTACCTATACAGATACTACTCAGTACCTATACAGATACAACTCAGTACCTATACAG